TATATTTACTTTGAACTTTCCATCCCAGTTGAAAAGTAGAATCATTTAGTCGGTGCTTGCCTAACCGCCATTACCCACCGAGCTATGCCCGAAGGTTCTATATGTAAATTCTCCAGTCGTCCCGTCGATTTTGCTGCGCAGTTTTCAGCGAAGAGGTCGGTGGGTGGCAGGTTTAGCATACAAGTGCCGCCGTTGGACTTGTTCTTAAAGCTCCTGTTATGCACAGTGGGGCGAGCTTCTGAACCCTTTCCATTGGCTTCCGGTAGGTGAATTTCCGTACGCCTGTCCACAATACTGCACAATAGTTGTTTAGCAACAGTACATGAGAGAGAGAAAGAGCCCCAGGTTGTGCCGAGCATCGCATATAAGCCATTGCTAGTTTTCCTCACTCTTTCTTGCACGTTGTGCTTCCACAGCAGTTTGCTGTTTAAGACTGTCCCAAGGTACTTGGCGCGGTCCTTAGGAGAGAGTTGTGTTCCATTTTTCAAAGGGAACCTTTACAGAGAAAATTTGTGCTTTCTTGTCAGCACAAGCAGATCTACCTTCTCGGGTTCAACTCCAGACCCGCTTGCGTTGCCCAATTCTGGATTATATTGAAGGAGGTGGTCATATTACTTATTAATATGACAATGTCGTGGTCATAATACTGATAATGGTTATATTCGTTATTAATATGACCATATCGCCCACATATGCCACTACCTTAGTAGCCATGCCTTGAAAGTTCCTTAGCAGCTTGTTCACTAATGTCTATAGAAGCGAAAATACCTCTACAGACATTGGCCATTTTAGCATCGTTCCATTCTGTTCTTATCCGTCTAGTGGTCGAAAAGCTTCTGATCCAGCGTTGTATAGCAAGATTAAAATCTATTGATGGGATACTGTAAATGTCCAGGAATGATCCCTGAACGTATTTCTTATATTCAAGGGCCCTTTTTTATATTGAATACCAGTGTTTAGAGTGCAATCTCTACTGTTCTGCCTTGGCTTATGTGTGCGTCCAAGATTTTCCCTAGCGTTTTCATCTGGAAAAAAGTTAAGCTTATAGGCCTAAGCTCTTTTGAGTAGGTTGGGTTATTTCTACCTATCTTCAGTAAGAAACTACCTCAGCATCCTCCATGAGTGTGGCAAATACATATGTAGCTCAACTTCATGCATACCCTAAAAATCGCCTTAGTACTTGGTAGCCATGGTACGGAATTCATCCGTATCGGCAGATTTGTATGGGYGAAATGGACGGATTGTCTATTTTATTTTATTTTCCGTAAAGATATGTTCGTAGCTAGGACTTACCGCGTCATTACAGAATGGAAAGGGCTCACTGACTGAGTCTTCTAATGAGTTGGCTTTTAGATAATAATTTCCTAAATCTCGCCACCTCATGGCTCTTTTCAAATCCGATACAGAATTTCGCTTTGTTCTGCGCACGAACTTCTGGTAGTCCCTTAAAAGATCTTTATATTCGTTCCAACAGTCCTCACTTTCTGCTAGCTTAATACAACTAAAGCAATCCCGTACTTTGCGTCTGCAAGACCCAAGCTCCTTATTCCATCAAGAGTGCTTCGTTTTGTGTTCGAGTCGCAGTATTTAGGGCATTCATAAATAGAGTCACTCTCAAAATTATAAACAATAATTCGATTTTTTTAAGATCAAGTAAAATTTTGGCTTCAGAAATGTGCCCCCTAAATTAGTAAACTCAATAAAATCTTATCAAATTAGAAAAATCTTTATGGGACTAACTAAGGAAAAAGAAAACTCCAACACTGTTTACAAATTTCGTAATTGAAACAAGACCGCTGGTATAATGGTACCAACCTAGTGAATACTGCATAAGCCTAAGCTATTGCCCACCAATGTTGCCTCGATAGCTGTTACGTCACCTCTTCAATTAATGCTTGACATGTTCGTGTCAAGCTTTTGTCCAATATACACAAGTCAAAACCAGCACAGCAACAATAAAGTTTAGAGTAATAAAAGGCTCAGTTGAAAGCTCAATAACCTGACAATTCTTAGCGGAGTTTATTGAACTCGACGCAATTTAAACTCGTATGTATATTTATACAAACAGCAAAATGCTTATACTTCTACTAAATAGTAGATTAAAATACATATGCATGTATGTGTGTACATAAGCAAATAGAAAAATTCCTAAATTATTCGATATTAAACACAACATGTTCTCTACCGGCATAAAAATGAGACGTCATAACATACCTGCTTTTAAAAAATAAGTTTACATAGTGTCCACGAGCGTGTATGTGTGTATGCAGGCATTCGATCAACACACGGGTACTCGCCTTATGTTTTTAAAAATACTAACTCCAATTTTTTTTTTTTTTTTTTTGCTCATATGTACATTGTCAGCTAATAATAACCCTTTGGCGACCACGCCGTGTCTACTGTCTAGACCAGGCTGACCAATCCAGCCAGTCCCTAAGGTCTAAGTCAGTTGATGGTTGGCGAGTTCTCGATACTTTGTTTTTGTTTACTCGCGAATGAGGAATATGTGCATATTTGTAGTAATGATTAATTTTCATAGTTGGTATATAGTATGTACATATCTAGGTGTTTATATGTACATATATACGAATATGAAATATAAGGTATAGTTTGCGTGCCGCTATATATGTCTAGTTAAAACGGAACTATACTTGACCTTACTGCAAATAAAATGATAACACTAACTGATACTATATACTATGTAGTTATTTAAGTGGACTTATACATATGCACATTTGCTCGGGAATTGGGAGGAACACAGGAGTAATAACTATTGAGTTAAGTGAGGGATTCCATTGTTTTGAATGACATAAATTATGAAAAAGAGAAGTTAAGCGGTAACACCTAGTGAAAAATTATTAGAAACTTCTTTTTTTTTTTAAATAAAAAATATTAAATTTAAAATGAACTTCAACTTTACTTGAGTAATTACTCGGAGACAAATAATCCGATTACTTTAGAGTTTTCAAAATCGTCTACACTGACGTAGCAGTTTTTTATCCGAGCGAAAATCGAGTTTTAGCAGACCAAAAACGCCAAATACTTGCATTAGTTTTAGATTTTAGCAGATATTTTTTTATATTTTGTTTCCACGGAGAAGGCCAGAATCACTATCCCTGCAACAACGTAAGACGTTTTTAGCGTCGGAGATCGCGTATAGTTAGAAATATATTTAAGTTTTTTCTTCAAAAATTTTACCATAGTTAAAGCTCCATGCTCCTTTTTATACGGTCGTCAACGGTTGGAGCAAAGAGCAAAGACAATCCACTATAATAAGCATTATTCTTCTTCTTGATTGGCGTAGACACCGCTTACGCTGTTATAGCTGAGTTAACAACAGCGCGCCAGTCGTTTCTTCCTTTCGCTACGTGGCGACAATTCGATATTACAAGTGAAGAAAGGGCCTTCTCTACTTGGTCCTTCCAACGGAGTGGAGGTCTTCCTCTTCCTCTGCTTCCCCCGACGGGTACTGCGTCGAATAATTTCAGAGCTAGAGTGTTTTCGTCCATCCGGACAACATGACCTAGCCAGCGTAGCCGCTGTTATGTTAATGTCGTCATATATCTCATACAGCTCATCGTTCCATCAGCCAAGCATTAGAAGAGTTTATTTATAACTGAACTTATCAGTGTGGCTTTAGGCCTGGAAAATATACAAACGAGCATATTTTCACAATTCGCCAAATCTTAGAAAAGACCCGTAAAAGGAAGATCAACGCATGCCACCTCTTCGTCGATTTTTAAAGCCGTCTTTATCTTTTATAAGAGTGTACAACTGCTTACGTATGCCGATGATATTGATATCATTGGCTTCAACAACCGCCTTCTCCAGCCTGGATAAGGAAGCAAAGCAAATGTCATCAAACAAATAGCCGTCGAACTCGTGACTTAGCTCCCACGTCCCTGTTGACAACGGCCGGAGTATTTAACGTGAGTACCTGCTAACGCAAGCCTTACACCATGGCGCTCAAAAGCACAGCGGATCAAGTCAGCAGTGTAGAATGGACACACTAACCACCTTGGTAGGGTTCATTCTCGAACCCCTACCGTACTTTAGGTCCAACAACCGGTTCGCAGGAGGTCCAACTCCGCATTCAACTGACAAAGTGTCAGTTCTTCCCGCATTCGGAAGCGAACTCCAATCCTGCACACACCATTCACACAAGAGCTAAGCCTAATTCTCAGCTAAACGCTTTCGCCGCCTAAAAAATTCACGACCAAACCCCATACCACCTAGATCCCTAATGTCCGAACACATCGGGCATTTTGCAATTACATGCACCCAGTCCTCCATCCCCGCCCATCGTATCAGATACGTGCCTCATGAATTCAGAGGCCCATGCAACGTAAACAAAGATTTTACAGATTTTATCTGAGTCTGGATTATCCTCAATAAACCTAACGTCCCGAATGTAGTCATAAGTTACTCGTTAGGACTATTGTTCCCTAAATATCCCTCCCTCTCCACAGCCCTGGGGATATTTGGAGGAATGCTACTACGTTGATAACAAGACTCAACAAAACTGATGGAAAAATTTGCGACTGATGTGCTAAGGGGCCAGTGAGGTATATGAAATATTATGTTTATGACGAGTTCAATATTGTCCATCACGTTTGATCTCTGCACCCCTTGACTACAACATAAAAAATCTTACATAATAGGATTTACCATCGGTTTTAACAACCCAGAACTAACATGAAACAGCCTCTAACATTACAGTCGCAAAATGACTGTAAACTAGTATAATTCTAGTCCGTTCCGGTTACGAAAACCCGGCTGTCGTGTGAACGGATTTTGAATTTAGTCATACTTGATGACTGGAGAACTAACACGGTCTTTGGTATATTTGAAAGCAAAAATCTTCAAAGAGCACATTTGTGTCTTTATCGTAATGATCATAACTTCATTTAATTTCGCAAACAATTCTAAATTAAAAAAAAAAAAAAACTCTTCCGCTTTTCAAAATTGGTTTTCTTTACTCTTACACTTCTTTCCGACAGTACCTCCACAACACCGCCGACGGGACTATCGCATGTGGCACGCATGATGGACTCATTGATACTAGATCAATATCCACCGTTCGCCTTCACAAAGATCACAACCACACATAGACCATCACGTGCCGGAAACAACAAGAAAACCGAAACCACACGCACAACTACTTTGACTGGCCTTTCTCCCGGCAGCGCGGCTACTTTTGGCGGGGGCAACGGCATTGCGCCAGCAGGCATTCGGAAAACGCGCATACCAACACAAGGTGAGTAGAAAAAATGCAATATATAAGTGTCACACAATTAAACTAATCTACGCGTTTCTTCCAGAAGTCCCCCCACAACCACGCCCCAACACAAATTTGCCACCCACAGCCGGCACCACAAATCCACTTTATCAGAATGCTAACGGCGGTACCAACAATACCCCTGGTGTTGGTAATAATACACATATACAATTCCCGAATCATAATGACAACCGTTGGATCTCATCGTTGCGTCGATCACGCGATCCCGAACTACAGCCGACACTGCCTTCGATCAATTTAAGCCATCATGGTAGCGCACATAATGTTGGCAGTAATCTGAGCACCAGCACTGATAAAGGACGCATTTCGCGCAGCATTAAGGCTTCGACTATAGCGGCTACGCGCAAAAGTCGCAGTGTGGAACGTATTCGTGCACGCAAACTTACCACACAAATTAAACTCAAGGATAAACCGAAGAAGAACTCCATCGATGAGAATTCCAATTCGGATGATCAGGAAATCACATCACTGGAGGAGAATTCTACGTCACAGAATACGCCGAAGAGTTCGCCGAAAACAAAAACGAAAATATTCTCGCCCATCGGCTATGAGCCACATTTAGTAGACACACTGGAAAAGGATATACTACAGCGTAATCCAGGTGTCAAATGGAGTGATGTAGCTGGCTTGAATGATGCAAAGGCCATACTGCAAGAAGCGGTTGTATTACCGATAATTATGCCTGATTTCTTCAAAGGCATACGGCGACCTTGGCGTGGCGTATTGATGGTGGGGGCACCGGGTACTGGCAAGACTATGTTAGCCAAGGCTGTGGCCACGGAATGTGGCACGACTTTCTTTAATGTCTCCTCGGCGACACTGACCTCAAAATATCGTGGTGAAAGCGAAAAACTGGTGCGTTTATTATTCGAGATGGCGCGCTTCTATGCGCCAAGCACAATTTTCTTCGACGAAATCGATGCGTTGTGTACATCGCGTGGCAGCGATTCGGAGCACGAGGCGAGTCGGCGCTTTAAAGCAGAACTGTTGATACAGATGGATGGTTTGAATGCAACTCTGCAGGATGATAAGATCATCATGGTTTTAGCGGCAACTAATCATCCATGGGATATTGATGAAGCTTTCAGACGACGTTTCGAGAAAAGGATCTATATTGCACTTCCAAATGGTAAGTCAAAGGGGAGAAAGCGAGATGTCATATTTTTTGTTATGTTTTAGTATATGGTTGATGAAAAGTTACATTTTTTCTTTGTCTCTTCTTATCTTATTGAAAAAACTGTAAGCGAAGATATATTTTTTTTGTTGGGTTATCCCCCAACTCAGCACTCACTTCCTATTTACTTTTCAAAATATTTTATAAAAATGTGAATAATTATTTTAAATTAACAAATTTAATTTTTTTTTTAATATTTCCTACAGAAGAGACACGTTCCGCTCTACTAAAACTCTGCCTCAAGGATGTTCGTCTCTCACCCAATTTGGACACGAATCTCATTGGCGATCAGTTGACAGGATACTCGGGTTCGGATATTAGCAATGTCTGTCGTGATGCGGCAATGATGGCAATGCGTCGTCTCATTGCCGGACGCTCGCCATCGGAAATAAAGGAGATACGACGTGAAGACATTGATCAACCTATAACAATACAGGACTTTAAAGATGCTATGGAACGTACGAAACAATCAGTTTCGTTGGACGATGTTGCGCGTTTTGAAAAATGGATGGAAGTCTATGGTTCATGTTAAACTAATATAGACGCGCAGCGAAAGGAATGCTCTTAAATTATAATAACTGATCACATTGAAATTTAAAAATCAATAAGCAATAAATTGTAGCGATTTTTTTTTTTTTTTTTTTTTTTTTTGAACTAAGCAAGAAAGTGGTCAATAGAAAAACTTGCAGAAAGAACATACGGAATTAAGGTCTCCGTTATTTTCCAAGTTATGTTTTTATGCAAATGCCTCTGAAGTATCAATTTTTGTCCTAAATAAACGTACTACAGACATATGTATTTGTATTCATATAGTACACCACGTCGTATGAGCAACACAAAAGGGATAAATCACTTGCATGATTGCTCATGTTATTTAATGTATTATATATGTACATATGTATAACTTTAACTGTGTATAAATTTTAATTGAATGTTTTTATAAAAAAAATTATTGAAACTTTTTTTGTGGAATTAAAGTATTACTTTTTCAAAGTTGTAGATTTATATAAAATATCGAAAAGCTCCATGTTGTTCCATACCTGGAAAAATAAGGATAATTTAGGACCGGTTTAAATTAGAAATAAAAAGCTCGTTTACATTGAATGCTGATTTTTAGGGCAATAACTGACGTTTCAGTGGACGTTTGAAAAACAAAACAACCAACTTGGAAATAACGAACACCTAATACTACGTATTTGTAAGCAATATTTAGTGCATAACTTGTGTAAAATTAGAAAAACTTCCATAGCTCATAACTGTTGTATGGACTTGTAGTACGGATTATGATTTTTGATCCAATGTTTGACCTTTATCATTAGTTAAAAACTTGACCTGGATTCGCTCAATATTTCGAAAACCCACCACTCCTAACCCAAGATATTTTCCTAAATCCTACTTTGAAATTTCTACGATTGAGCGTAGGGTAAAATTCAAAAGTGATTGTTAGATAACCATTTATAAGCAATTAGTCGATAAACCAACATTTTATATAAAAAAAATTTATAAATTTAATATTAACATGGTAAATGTATGTATAATCGAATCAATAAATTCACAAACAGCTAATGAAGTGTATGCTTAAATGTGCTTGGTCAACTGTTTGAATTTTAATAATTTAATTTTATTGTATAATCAATTAAAACAAATGCTCAAATGCACTGATTACTAGTTAACATCGACATTGATAATAAAACGCAAATAACTGTACTGTAAATCGCATGCTTAATGGCGTAACTTCTCAAGAATCTGTTTATAGGCGCTTTCCACTTGCTGGTACTCCTCATTTAACTGTTCAATGCGTTGCATTGGTGTGGGCAGGCGCGCTCTCAACCATTCTGTATCCACATTGGCTTTCTCCATTTTCTTAATATCGTTTATCTGTTTATAATGAACTGCGTTTAAACGTCGCTTAACATCCAAACGATATGCCCGATAATCCTCTTCGTCATTTAAATTTGTATAATAGAGGCGGAGTATTTCATAGACACGACGACACTGGCGAGGATTCAACTAAGCATACGAAACAAACAAAAACAAAACTAAATAACTTTTAGAGATATTTAAGTTGTAGTAATTTACTTTGAACGTTTCCCGTGCCTCTTTAATCATTTCCTTGTTGAAGCCTTTTTTAATGGCATCTCTTTCGAAACTTTTCAAACCCTTACATAACCGTGCGTCCACAAAATTGCGTAAACGCTGAAAGTCGTCAGATGGATCTTCCACAGTCATATCCACCACGTTTTTCAGAGATTGATAATGCTTATATATGGTTTCTACGAAGCTTGTACCAATTCCGAGCTTTTGGAATGGTGGAAGCACTAGCACTTGACTAATACGTGGTCGTATGTGTTGTGGATATGCATAATACTCATACACAGTTGTGTAACCAGTCGTCGCATACTGATAATCTCCATTTTCATTTTTGTATTTTTCGTAGCTAATGTGGTAAGAAAATAATATATATTTATTAAAAAAAAATTTTTTCTTTATGGTTTGGTACATACCATACAAAAAAGCTCCACTGTGTATCATCAATGTCAATATACGATGCAGCATCAACAAACCAAAGTATAAATGTTTGTAGACGACTGAAAAATTTTAGAAACGCCGGCACTTTATAATCACAGTGATATATTTCGAACAATCGCTCCTTTCCCTGTGCGTCAGTTACTTGGTGTTCGGATAATTTTTCGCCAAAAGGTTGAAATTTGTCGGCTTTGTCGAGGGTCTTTAAAAACTCATCCATATTGATAAAGAAGCAGCCTTCGGGTAACTTTTCAGCAATAGTGAGCACAACATTATCAGCTTTTATATCTCCCCCTGATATCTCATTTACGCGGCTGCTATATTCCGTACCAACATAAATGTGTAGTGGTCCAGCAGTATATAAAATTCGTACTCGTAGATCTTTATAACCAAATATGCTCTCCGATTCGCCAAATATTTGATGTGCCATCAACGGGTGGAATACAAGACTATCATCTTCCAGATCTTGCTTGCGACGTACTACAAGACAAATAACACTAATGACATTTCATAAAATTATTTGTAACTTTAAAATTACTCAATTTAAATTCCACAACTTCAAGTGCGTCCAGCACGAGTTCTTCATAGTCGTGAATATGCGACATGCCGGCAACAATAAACTTCCCTCCAAAATGTGGTGTCAGCTTTTCCTTCTTGAAAAGCTCCAAATTTTCACCTCTCTCAACTAACTCGATCACTGCTACTAAATTCAGTTAATATAATCAATAGAGTTAATTATTTATTATTCTGCATATGTACTAATTTAGATATTACATGGAAATACATAAATCGCGAGTTGGTAAAAAATTTCGAGCGCAAAATGCCAATAGCAACAAACCAATTCTAATAAATGTTGACAAAAGCCTGGTATCGCTGTGTTTCATATGCAAAATGATTGTCACTAATGAGTCCCAAACTGGTCTGCTCAAACATGAATGGATTTTACACAATTATCCGGATATACTAATTTTTTTAATTCAAGGAAATGATGCATTGCTTTAAATTTATATTATTTTTTAATTTTTTTATTATTATGCACGGAAAAAACAAAGTATTGTCATAAATTTTATTTTGTTATAACACACCCTGCTTCGAACGACGTTGACATTATATTCTCAATCACAACCAACTTAATTGATTAGTAAGCAGAATTATCCGAAGTCGATTTGTAGCCGCGTTTCATATTATTTTTCTAAAACTATAAATTGAATTAATTCAATAACTTGTCACTGGCAATTAGCTCATTAAAACGTAATATATAATACACTGTAACTTTAAGGATTACCTGTTCCTTTTTTATTAAAAAAAGAGTAAAGTTATCGCATTTTTAGTAGTCTTGTGTTTTCATCTGTATATTCTTGTATCTTTTTCTGCCTTTGTTATAGTTGAAAAATCGCTAAAAAATGGATAATTACCTGTTTGAAGGTGGTCGCATCACTAAAATGGAGGTTGATTATTCACCTGCATGTGATGAGAAAATTCCATTAGCCAAAGACATGGCAAGAAAAAATCCGGAAGCCTTCCACGACGCCATCGAGCTACTACTGCAACTTGAAAAACAAACTCGTCTGGTACGTAAACTTTTCCAATATAATTTGATGATACATATCTACAATGTTCCTAATATCCACAGGGCGCCGATATGGTTTCTTGTTCGCGAGTACTTGTCGCAATCTGCCAGATATGTTTTGAAGCTCAAAACTGGAACGCTTTAAATGAGTATGTTTCATTATTGGCACGTCGGCGATCACAACTTAAACAAGCTGTTTCAAAAATGATTCAAGAATGCTGCACTTATGTTGATAAAACGCCTGACAAGGCCACAAAATTGAAGCTTATTGATACTTTGCGTTCAGTAACTGAGGGCAAAATTTATGTCGAAATTGAACGTGCAAGACTAACAAAAATTTTGGCCGATATTAAAGAAGCTGATGGTGATATTGCCGGTGCAGCTTCTGTAATGGAAGAGTTACAAGTCGAAACTTATGGTTCAATGGATAAACGTGAAAAGGTTGAATTGATTTTGGAACAAATGCGGCTTTGTTTGTTAAAGGAAGATTTTGTTTCTACGCAAATCATAGCTAAAAAAATAAGCATTAAATTCTTTGATGATCCAGCACAACATGATTTAAAACTAAAATTCTACAACCTTATGATCCGGCTGGACCGCGATGGTTCCTTCTTAAAAACTTCCCGTCACTACCAGGCAATAGCGGAACCAGCACGTCCCGTAGCAGCAGTTCCGCAATTAACAGAGGAGGAAAAGAAAAAACTAAGCGAGGAAGATAAAAAGAAGCGAGAGGACGAAATAAAGGCAGCAGCTGCCGCGGCGGCCGCATTGTCAACTGTAGAACTAACTCCCGAACAGGAAAGGAAACAAAAAGAGAAACTGATCTGCGCTGTCCTTTACTGCGTATTAGCGCCATATGACAATGAACAAAGTGATATGATGGCACATTTATCAAAAAAGAAAAAGCTCGAAGACATACCAGCTTATCGGTTAGTTCCTCAAAAAAATAATTTAATATATATATTAATGATTTGTTTATATTTACAGTGAAATATTACGTTTGTTCATGTCGAAGGAACTGATAAATTTCGATACATTCAACGCCGATTTTGGAAGTGTATTAGCCGAGAATGAAATGTTTGCAGAAAGCACTAAACATGGTCGCAAATGTATATCTGAATTAAAGGATCGCTTAATAGAGCACGTAAGAAAATAATTTTCTTAGAATCGAAGAATTAATTATTACATTGTATATTCATTTCCAATTAGAATATTCGTATTATTGCGATGTACTATTCCCGCATTCACCTCCAACGCATGAGTGAGTTGCTCAACTTGCCTACAAACCGCTGTGAAGAATACCTTTCGAAATTAGCGAATAGTGACACCATAAGAGTGAAAATCGATCGTCCCGTTGGAATTATTTACTTCACCACCAAAAAGAGCGCCTCTGATATTTTGAATAACTGGGCGAACGATGTGAATCAGTTGATGTCATTGGTGAATAAGACTTGTCATCTTATCAATAAGGAAGAATGCATTCATTCTGCTATTGGAGTAGTTGTAGAGGAGTAGATTACCAGAAAAATGTACATTTTTTTTATTCGCAAAGCTGATTTAAATTTAATTTACTTACATTTCTAATGCCCCAAACAAATGCATTTCACACCGAATGTATTAATAATATTGAAGACTAGGCATTAAACCGAAATAAAATGTACGCAAGCTTAAATAAGTGTTATTGTATATATTTTGTAGTGGGGTTAAAATTTTGTATTTTATAAATAATTCCAAAAAAGCTTTTGATTTCCACAATATTTTGACAAAAAAAGGAATTTAATGATGTTCGAAAAAAGGTAAATGTAAAAGAAAAAAATTTCACTTAAAGTAATCCTTATTGCTGGAAATAGAAATTTCGTTACTTTAAACATTTTTATTTCACCAAGTGCAACCCTGCAATGTTCTTTTTGAACACGCTCGCTATGATAGCAGATGACAAGCGAAAATAGCGATCTAGTTTTTAAAATAAAAAGAAATTATTCACAGCCAATATCGTTCCTGAAATAAAACCATTTAGAAATGGGTTGTCCAATGGCTTTTGGGGAACTAAATATTCCGTCTTCACGTGCCTTCTGGGATGATTGTGACGAAGACGAGCCAGTCCAAAGGGATACGGAAACAAAAAAGTGACTTGCATGTTATTTTGCTCGCAATAAAATAAACCATTTTCGCCTTACAGACTCGAATTACTGTACGAACCAAATGAAGCCCAAACGCCTTTACCCAGTAAGATATTTCTGTTAATTGAGGGTAAGGACGTGTCAGAATTTGTGGAAGCGGCATTGTTAGGAGGAGCTCGGAATATATGCAAATTGCCATCACCTAAGTCATCTTTGCATTATGTGCAGGACAAGGAACTTTTGATCGCGCAGTTGCATGAAGATCTAACAAATAGTGGTGAATTGACAGAGTTATTACTTCCGTATGCGAAAGAGGCGGAAAAAGTTATTACATTGACTGTAAAATCCAAAATAGAGTATCAGAGTGAAAATTTGAAATGTGTACGTGATGATATTACCTTCATAAGGGGCATTAATTCCAAATCGCCCCAAGTCGAAGAGCTTGAACCACCTAATTTCATAGTGGGTGTGGCAGCTGGAAGTAAGTACTCTCTTAATTCCTAATATTAGCAGATCAGTTATTCCCATTTATCTTCTAGTTGCTTGTTGGAGGCACAACGCGAATTTACCTACGTCGGCCTATGTTGCCTATACTGACAATGTCTCGTTGGATGCATTGGCTGCTAAGCCTATAATAAAACTGCTACAAGAATTGGGAATAGATTGTAAGGACAGTTACAAGCCTATTTATAGAGAAGCGTCCCACCTATATATGTAAGATTTTGTAAAGGTGTTAATATATATTTATATATATATTATATTTTTATATATACAAAAGTTAAATAATTGGTGAGAAGAAATATTAACAATTTGGGATTGTTAAAATGAAAAGTGTATTTAAATATTTTATTTTATATCCAGTATACAAAAAAATCTCAAAAACATTACTTAGCGTCTAAATCGAAAATGCTAAGCTTAAGCGATTTGCTCCGCTGTTCCGTATGTGCTTTTGAAATAGCAATGAACTGTGGCCGACTTAAAAGCGAATACGCGGGCACTAATAAAGATTGTACCAGCGAATGTAATTCTTTTCGCCCACTACAAAATAAGTCGATTCCCAACTCGAGAGATGTGCCAAAATCACATTCATCCATTGCTATATTAGCAGCAGTAGCCACTGGTTGCAATTTTTCAATAACTGCTGCTTTAATTTCCTCATTATCCCCATCGCCATCCGATGATCCAGCTTTGACGAAAGGTTCCAGTATTTTTTTCAATTCTCCATCGGAAACAATAAGTGGTCTGTAACCAACTTGCGTATTTCCTTCGTACGGTACTACAATACCTGCCTCGTGGAATGTTTTAGCCACAACTTTAGCGCTACGTCGTTTACGCAATGTCTCCAGTTTTTCTAATTTTATTTCATTCACATTTATAAACAATTGCACTGATTTACGTGTGGATGATACCAAAGTTGCAGTAAACGGAGTGCTTGTAAAATCCTTGTCAAGGTAATGTAAAAATGCATCGAAAACATTGCCTGCAATGAATTCGAACTTACAGTTCTTTAAGGAGTCGTTGCGTGCTATTAAAAGGCATTCATTGTCCTTCGGCAAATCACGCCAATAACCATAATGGACACCAGTATCACGACGTACGAATATTGTTTGAAATTCAGGCGGATCATAGAAAAAACGCCAATGACGTAAATAATCACCTGGTTCACGTAACTTTGCTTTATGAAAGCGGCCGGCCAGAAATTCAAACGGGCCCACTAATTGCAGCTGGAATTGCTTTTCGAAATGCTGCAAAATTTCTTCACCTGTGGAATTTTTTTTCAAAGTGTTTGCGAATTTCCAGAAGTCATAAAAGTCCGGAGGCATTTCAACAAGAAACTTGTGGCGTATGAATTCATTACTACGGAGCAATTCGTCGTATTCAGCTTGCACAGAAAACTTTATACGCTTAGCGAGGATTTCCATATAGTTTTTTCCAGCAATATTCCCAAGAGCCTCAGCACGCAATTCATCTGTATCTATTTCCTTACGTTCACCAGTCGAAGTATTCTTGCTAACAGTTGCCTCCACATCCATGTCTAGAGTGTTTAGAGAATCATCAGTTTTTGGCTCTTGTTTGAGATCCTCGGTTGTTCTACGTTTCTGTGCTTCTTTGTCTTTAACTGGGCTATAGTCAGCAGTTGAAACTGCAGTGCTGTCTCTGGGTGGATGATTATATTTTTCCAAATGCGCCGAATTTTTTTGATAACATTTCTCCCAATATTTGCAGTCTTGTTTTGGCATAACGACAAACAATTTCTTTGTTTATTAACTAATTTGTATACAACTTTAGCGAAATATTATAGATATTGCTGCCAAACCGCATTTATTTTTGTTTACATCTGACATGCCGCTAGAAAACACAAAATATCGGTTTTCGCAAACAATAGAGTTGCCAATTGTTTATTTTTTTAAATGTGTGATGAAAGAAAAATAAATTATGTACAATAAATACCACTACAAAATACAGAAATTTTAAATTTAAACTTTTTACAATATTTTTTCATTTATCTTTACTAGATTAATCTATATAAAACATATTTATCGGTATCATAGTGTCAATGCCATAGGGCGGTAGATAACCGATATACATTTTTGCTTATCGATTACTCGCATCAAACAACGTTGGTTCTACTTAATTTAGCAGATAAATGCAAATATTAATTTACTTATTATTTTTAATAGTGGTTGCATAGAGTTTATTTAATAATATAGCTATAAAAGATGGTTGAAAATAATTCTGACGATGGAAGTGGTGAGTAACAAGATGAAATTAACTCGTAATTGCTGCGATAACATTGTATTTATTTATGTAGGTTCGGAATCTGAAGGTAGCCATAGTAGATCTCCTTCGCCACAAACTGCACAAACACCGGGCTATTCCTTGGAACATCATGATCCCGAACAAGGGTAAAAAACTTAATCTGATCTAAATATAGATACAAAATATCTTAATTTTTTTAAAATATTTTTATGAATATTTGATTTTAGTTCCCCTCGTAGCGCTCATTCGGCTGCGAGTGGTAGTGATAGAAAATCACGTTCGCGATCACGTTCATCCTCGAGTTCGGGATCGCGTAGCAACTCAGGTTCTCGTTCTGGAACGCGGTCCCCATCTGGTTCACCCCACAGCAGACGCTCAGGTTCAGCTCAAAGCAGACGCTCTGCTACATCGGCAGCCAGTAGAAAACATAGGGCCGGTGAAAGCCCTGAGCAATCAAATTTGGCTAGCCCCGACCAATCACCTGCTGCAAGCCGACAACAAACTCCAGTTACAAGTCGTGAGCAATCGCCTGTCGCTCAAGAGACTTCGCCGAAACGTAATGCAGGCACACCTCATAATCAAACCCCAAACGACGACGATACACGTTCTCAATCACCCAACTTGCAAATAGATGACCGTGCAAATTCACGCTCACGTTCTCGTAGCCAAAGTCGTCGCTCACGATCCGCTACGCCACGCTCTAAATCTGGAGGATCTTCACGTTCTGGCTCTCAATCGAGAAGTGGGACAAGGTCTCGTTCCGGATCGCGTGCACATTCAGGTTCACGTTCGCGATCTGGTACGCCTGCATCACGCAAATCTGATAAGTCTGGCAGTGAATCTGAATCAGGTAGTGATTTTGGTGCCCGACAGAAGAAAAAGCGGAAGGCCACAGAATCTAGCGGTTCTGAATCTGAAAGTGCTCCTCGCAAAAGAGGCAGTGGAGACGAAAGCGATAAAGGTGCCACTGCAAAGGCTAAGAAAGCACGCATTATCGATTCAGACACCGACAATGAAGAGGTATCTGAACCTTTGAACAATTATTTTTTTGATTGCAATGAATATATTTGACTTTTCAGCAATCGCAAAAAATCGATGCAAATGACATTTTTGGAGATGCCGATGATATCAGTCTATCTGAAGATGATGGTCAAAAATCTTATGCTGGTTCCCGTAAAAGTCGATCGCGCACCCGTTCACGTTCCAAGTCGAAATCAAGCTCTCGTAGTGGTTCACGTCGTTCAGGTTCCGGATCACGTTCCCGTTCAAGATCTCGTTCACGTTCTTCTCGTTCGCGTTCTCGGTCACGAAGCCCTGGACGAGTAGAAGAACAACAGCAGAAGGAAGATGAGCCAGAACCTATTCCCGAAACTCGTATCGATGTCGAAATTCCACGCATAGTAACAGATCTGGGAAAGGAAATTCACTTTGTAAAACTTCCGAATTTCCTTTCGGTTGATACACGTCCCTTTGACAAGGACACCTATGAGGATGAAATTGATGAGGAGGAAACTATGGACGAAGAAGGTCGACAGCGTATCAAGTTGAAAGTAAGTAATACCATTCGTTGGCGCGAATATATGGCAAATAATGGTGACATGATCAAAGAATCCAATGCTCGCTTTGTGCGTTGGTCAGACGGTAGCATGACATTACATTTGGGCAACGAAACCTTCGATGTATATCGTCAACCATTACATGGCGATCATAACCATATGTTCATTCGTCAAGGTACTGGTTTACAAGGACAAGCCGTCTTCCGCACCAAACTTACCTTCCGACCACACTCCACCGAATCATTCACACACAAGAAGATGACAATGTCACTGGCAGATCGTTCACAAAAGACCAGTGGCATTAAGATTCTCACACAAGTCGGCAAAGATCCCACCACCGATCGTAAGTACAACCTCAAAAAGGAGGAGGAAAAACTCCGCCAAGCAATGCGTATGCAACACAAACCACAACCTAAAAAAAAGAAAGGTGGTGCGCATGATGTGCATGGTGGGGCCAATTCGTCATATCATCACGACGAAGGAAGTGACGATGAAAATGCCATTTCTCTTAGCGCTATCAAGAATAAATATAAGAAAGGTAGTGGCGGCGGCGGTGGTGGTGCACCTTCGGTAACCTCAGAACAAAAGGGTTCGGCCATTTACTCATCAGACGAAGATGATGGATCCGACTTCGACGGCCGACGTAGCAAGAAAAAAGACAAATCAAAGTCGGTAAAAGCACTGCGTGATTCCGACAGCGAATCGGAAGATGAACATGGCAGCGGCAAAGGAAGTGGCGGTGGTAGTGATAGCGAAGTCAGTGGCACTGGTGATGAGGGTGGCGGCAGTACCCGTGGTGGAGGTGGTGGTAGTGGCTCAGGCAGCGGCAGTGGCAGCGGTAGTGATAATGATGACTAACAACCATAACAATGCGACAAGGAGAAGAATTATTACATTGGACAATGTGCAAAACTGCAACATTTTACTTAAATATATACTATTGTTAGATATGTTAATTATGATAGCTGCTCCGAATAGCGTAGAAGCGAATTGAATGATGTCAATAAATACATGAAACAAATTTTAATTGTTTTGAATTATGTATGTGTTGTAAAAGGTTATTGTACGAAGGGCTCAAGAAATGATCGAATCTGCCAACGTGTATAAGTTGAAAGCTGTTTGTGATAAGTAATTGGTATCAAAAAGCAAGTATTGTAGCGCTTTAGATAATTGTGTTGAGACGCAGCTTATAACCTTTTTAGCGCTATCTAAGACTTGGTTAGGTTCCGTTCCCACGACAGTCGGGTCTACATAACCGGAACGGACACGGATTTTTTATCCGGCCAAGGACTTGTCAACTACAGCAATAACTTGGTTAGATTAGTTTAGATTTTAGAGTCTCGTAGCCATGAATCTCACATGGGCAGCTGTATCTACCGCTCAGCTGAAAAATCAAATTTTGTTCATTTAAACGCATAAAATTCCTTTTGTGAATTATTTACTGTAGATGTTTTTATGTTCAAACGTTCAGTTCCAAAAGTGTTACTGCATGCATTTAAATAAAAATTCGGTAAATTTAGATTTTAGATACATAATATTCCATCTCTTTTTATTAGAAAAACAGAACTTGTAAAAATTCTACTTCACGATTTTATTTGTGCTCATTATAAGTTACATTTAATGGTTTAATTGCTTAACTTCGAGTCCAAATAAATCATATTCGGGTCAAAAATTATTGTTACCGGTAAATTATTATATAAAGGTTTACATATGTATATTTGTAAAATTCGAAAATTTTCTTCTTTCATGCAAATCACATTTAATTTAATACAATATTTTTTCAGCTACAACTGCATGCGTTTATATTACAATTCAAATTTTCATAATATAAAATAAGTTTACACAATTTTTTTCAGTGAAAAGTAAAATTTATCGTTAAGTTAATACGAAAATTATTTAAACGTTTTTTATATGGTAATTAGTACATAATAAATATATATATATRTAAATAATTACATATGAGGATTGTATTATTTACTATGAATTTTCATAAAAATGTATGTAATTCTTCGAGATGGATTGTGCGTGTAAATGCATTTAGGAAATTCAACAATTCCTCTGTTAACACTATTTTCGCTATTTCTTTTCTGTTTAAAAAAGCTTTCATATGTTTTAACATTGTCCGATCTATGTATGTATTTGTATTTGTAGAGAAATGCTTTCAGCTCATTTAAGCTGAAGTTTGGCTGTGTTAATATTCAAAATTCTAGTAAAAATGTGAAATCCGAATTCGAAACCCGTCATCCCTTTATTCGCTATTCGCTGCTACATTTGCAATAAATGTGTGCGCATTTCGTTATAGAGTTCGAAGTGTAAAAAGCTTTGAAATGCTTTTATTATTAAGTACATGCGTATAAGTGCGCATTAAATTTTCAATAAAAAAAATTAATTATATATTTCAGCTTGATTTTGGTCATTATGCATTAGTAATTTAAAAAAACTCAAACGAAATAATGTTGCATCAGTTCTCAAAAAACGAAATTAACTCATTAAAAAATGAAAGGCACATATCGTATAGATAATCGCTTACATACGTTATCTATGTATATACTTTCAAAAAGCATTTTTACCCAATGTATTTTCATATAACTTACACTTTATATATAGTAAGTAAAAATCAAATAAATTACTCCTCCACTGTAGTCAATTAATTGAAAGGCGCTTGTAGACTTGCAAACAGAACAAACGTAAGTCATCAGTTTTTTGCAATTCCTACAAACGCCAATAATATATTAATGCCAGTTACTTTACTCGAATATAAATTAGCTCCGTTTCGTTATAAAATAACTTTATTACAACATCTATCCGTTATGTGATATCAAAATTTATCTCATAAAATATAAATATTCGATTACACAGTTATTTGAGAGGAAAATATTAGAATTTGTAATATATTTGCGCAAATAAGCTAAGAATTGCCGTCTTTTCACGAAGGCTGCCTTATTGTCGGGGCCGAGTGCAACAGTTTTGGAAAATGTCGTTAGGAGCTAAAATTAATAACTACTTTTTCCGAGTAAAGTAAATGTTATGCTATCAAAATTTAAAATTAGTATGTTAAAATATTCATTACAACTCTTCACTTTTTAAATCTAAAGTCTTATTACAGTACATACATTATTAAAAATAAAGTGTATTACATAATAGTTGAATACCATAAATCGTTGCGTGCGTATTTTAAACTCTTTTTAAATATGTATGCTTGTATACGCGAGATTCAGTTGATTGCACTACGCTGATTGGGCCAAATATTGTATGTATGCATGTAAATATGTACATAATATCTATATATTAAGCGCCCGTGTCAGTGTTGTTTGAAAACCCACCAATAAGTGCTGTGCTGCTAGTGGTATCAGGAGCTTCGTCGTCAGCATTTATTAACATCAGCAGGCCTGAAATATTAAAGAAATATAATTTCGAGGTAAAACTTATTAACAGTAAAAGTCAATAAGAGTAAAACGGCAACAGCATCCAATATTAGAATATTTTGAATAACCCCGAGAATATTTATAATACACATATACTTATACTTTATAGCGTATCAGACGTTTCCTACTGGCTGTTACAAACTTCATAGCAAAGTCAATATCCTCTTCAGGGCATAAAAATAAAACATTTCGAAATCTACACTTACTTGCAATCGTATCGAGTTCATTTCGTAGCCACCTTTGCTCTGCATTTGTGTTTGTAATGCATTCAAATGATTCGTGGAGAGCTCTACATCGGCAGAACCGATATGTGCAGTGTGTACAAAATTCGTTGGATTGCCGATCATCGAACGGTCGATATGCAGGCGTTGATGACGTCGTCGTGTGGGTGATTGTGGTTGATGGAAACAGCAGGAGAACCATTGTAGCCAAATATCGCCGGTAGATGCCATTTTGCGGGTTTTACTAGTAATGGCAGCGGTGGTGGAGCTGTACGATTTTCGATTTCCCTTAGCCACGATGACGTCTATTTGTTTTCCGGCGTGTGGGTGTATACGAAATAAGTAAGTATATATGGAGATGGGAGTTAATTGAACTGCAAATAAAAGTTCAAACAAATTTGTTTTTTTTTTTAATTAATTTTTATCAATAATCTTAACAAATATCAACGGTGTAATTATTTAGTAGAGTTTAACCAAATTCTAGATGGCATAAATCTATGAAAGTTAAATTATTTTATATTTTTTCACGTGCTTCCATTTTGATTTGATGGATATTTTAAAACAATGTTAAAGACCTCCATATGTACACACGTATCGACAGTTTTACACACGTGCAAGCTGTTAACCACACATGCATGGCATACATCATACATACATACGTATGTACATATGAATTAATTGCAGTCTTATGTTTATGGATTGTTCCGCTCCAAAGCGAAGCTTAAGCAATTAAAAGCTATTTATGCAGACTCTACTAGAAGCAAGCGAAAGGAAAGAAAAAATCTATGCTCCAATTAATGCGATTTTTCGCTGTATGACTATAGTGGGCTTAACTATTTTCTTTAAACGCTTACATACTGATATGTACAAAAACAATTTTCTTCACACTTTTCTACCGGTGATTTTACCACATATGTATATGTATCAAAACAGAAAAGGGCGTCTGCCATGAGATGATCAAGTGCGGTCACACTAGTTCACAAATGTTAGCATGTCAATACAACGCCTGCCACTATGTAGTTACCTACGGACGCCCATTCAAACGCGTATTTCTTTACATTTTGTTATTGTTTCTTTCAGCGCCTGCCACTATGTAGTTACCTACGGACGCCCATTCAAACGCGTATTTCTTTACATTTTGTTATTGTTTCTTTCAGCTATAGACATGCACTCATTCACTTATGTTTACAGGCTTTTGGAGTTCTTAGTGTGGTCTTAGTTGTCACGGTAGCTGCACTTCGGAAGGCAATCGCATTTAATAGAAAACAGAATATACGACCGGAACAACAACCACAACACGGTGTGGCGAACTACTATACAATAATTTCAATCGGCGAGTGAAAAGTAATTAATGTCGCGCCAAGTGAAAATATGGAATAGAAGCATTTAAATGAAAGTGCTTGCCGACATCGCATGTCAGAGGTTGAATAAAGCAAAAACTCAACTTAATAAAAATTTAAATAAAATAAGCTAGAACTTTTTATTTAAAGTTTTTTTTCTGTTTTGTATGACTTTGTATATTTTCTAAATATATTATATGTAGCACATAATATTTTTTTATTTTTACAAATGTGCGAATAATTTGTATACAGACGAACAAACATTGCTATAACTCCTTCATTTAGATCCGATATAGAGTTGATACACATTTTATTATATAAATATTTGTAATTGCTCTTAGTTTGAAATCAGTTCATCTTACACATAACAACAAAAAAACTAAATGAATGGTTGATAGCAAGCTGACTCATTACCGGCATTGTGACTCTACTACAGCTGAGAAAAACAATAACTTATCTTTTTAAATGTGTTGTTGCAATGCCACTTGGTTTGAGCACGCAATCACGCCTTTATCGTAATAAAATTTACATGCGAAATGTAAATATAATAGCCGAATAAATTAAAATCATTGTTGAGTGTAAAACTTGTATATTGCAAGACTGCAGACATGTGTCATCTTGGCATTTTACCTTTTTTATTGAAACTTTATTAGTTATAAAATGTGTTGTTATGTGTTATAAAAAAAAAATAAAATATGTACAAGAGACATCATAATGCGATATATAATGTATGTACACATTCAGACACATAATCTTAATTTAGCTTATTTAATAAAAAATATTTTATTACAAAACATATGTATATTTGCGCCCTCTGCGGTATTTTATCGTAAATAATCCACTATGTGCACATCTTCATGTCTTTAACAAAAAGTTAATAAATACGGTTACTTTTGGATACTACTGCAAACGACTGACGCATTTACCACATCATATGTGTGTACAATACGAAATCATTTCCGACAACCAACCAACTGCGTCTTGCATGTTAATGAGTTCGTCGATCGCAATGGGCAATTTCAAAACTATTGTTTCCTCCATGTTATATCTCTATATGTAAAACATCGCAGTTACGAGTTTACAATTTTATTTTGCAAAAGGAAAACAAAAGTTATGTAAATTTCTATTCTGAATAGAAATTGGTGAGTATTCGTAGTAGTCAAATGTAAATGGATATTAGAATGCTAATAATTTCTTAGACTCATATTCTAACGGTAACAGTCAATCAAAAGACTTATATTTTTTATGATTTGAATGAAATGTTGTTGGCAGTAAACAAATTATGTTATCATATAATATTTTAAGTAAATACCGAAGTAACTAATTATGTTAACCATATTTATTAAATTGATATATACCGTAGAATGCATACATAAATATATAGGTACCCACATAAAACACGAAAAAATATAAAATAT